CATCGGCAAGGATATGAGAGGCCTGGGGAAGTTCAGACAGCGAGAAGATGAACGAACGAGGAAGGAGAGAGGAGAGCCCATTTTTTCAATGTGCCAGGCTCTCGGGAGGACGAGCCAAGTACGCTCTCGGAGCTCGTAGCAGCTCTGGCAGAAGTGGATCTGGCCACGCCCTCTTCAAGGCCCCGTTCAGTCGTGACCGCCTGGTCGTCCGGGCAGTCGGTGACGAAGCTCACGGTCTTGCGTCCTAACGGCCGTCGCCACTGCCCGACGCCTCGGCCTGGTTCTGCACGAGCATGCCCATGATTCACGTGAGCTCGCCCAGCTGCTGGTTGATGCCCTGGCTCTGCTGGTTGATCATGATCTGCTTCAGCTGGTCGATCCGAGCCTGAATCGAAGTCTCCTCGAGGTCGTCGTCGCTCTCGACCTTGATCTTCTCGATGGTCTCGATCGGCTGGGAGCCCGCAGCAGGGGCCACCAGAGGTGACTTGCGAGCCGCCCAGCCGCCCTCGGGCGGCGCCTTGCCCGGGGACGGCTTCATGAGCGCGAGAAGCCTGTTCCACGCCATCGGGGAGGGGCTCGACATCCTCGGTTCGGACATCTCGAGCTTCATCTCCTTCACGATTCGCTGAGCCAACTCCTTCTCCTCCTTCTTGATCATCCTCTATGTCTGGATCTCCCCCTTGGTTCTCATGTTCAGCTCGAGCCATCTCCAACTGATGAGGCGGTGGACGAAAGTGCCAAACCGGTCGCCTCCCCGACGCCTCGCGGACAGAGGGCGAGTGCACTCGCCGTTCGCGCCCCCGTCGCGGCCCCGGTCGATCTCCACGATGTCGTTCGCACCCGGCGCCAGCTGCTTGAGCGGGCGCGCAAATGCCACCACCTGGAGGACGGCCAGCAACTTCAGGCCCGCGCGCCCCCAGTTGCTCACCGCCGGGCCCAGTAGGTAGCTCCCCTCGTAGAAGAGCTCCTGCTCGACCGGGGAGAGCGAGACCCGGCCGCGTCGTCGATGCGCTGCAGCTCGGCGTCCACCCACAGGTCCCCGATCTGGTTCCCATTGGCTTCCATGTCGCTGTCGTCGGTCTCCTCCTGGAACACCGCTAGCTTCGCCTTGGATTTCAGACCCCCCACCGCGCGCGCGCCGCACAGAGTCTGGAGCTCGCGAATCCAGCCCTGACTGGCGCGAGCCGCCGCGCTCGCCATCGAGCCTGGTCGGGACTTGACTAAGAGATTGCCTGGAAGATTACAGCTTGCTTTGGCCCCGAGCGACCACAGACGCCTTCTCTGGCCGATCCCCAGACGCCCCACCAGAACAGGCCCCAATACTGCCCTCTGTTCCGAAGGTGGAGGTCGAGAAAGGAAGAAGGGAGGACTCTGGAGCGCCCGCGGCCGGGCCGCCGGGCGGGCGGCCGTCCTCAGCGAGGGCCGAGAACTCGCCCCCGATCTCAAAATCGGCATGGCCGACCCAGTAAAACGGCATCGCGACGCGTGCCGACTCCTGCTCCATCCAATTGTTCACGAACTCCTGCTGCTGCTCGACGTCGCGATGGTCGACGTAGATGCAGTTGGCCATTCTCACCGGGCCCAGACGCTCGACCTCGACCGGGGCCCCCGAGACCCTGCAGGGAGTAAACATAGCACGCCTCGGACGGTCATGATGCCTCCGAAATACACTGCCGATCACTTCCCAAGAATCGAGCTCGTTGTCGGCAGGATCGCCCGTCACAAGGAAGAAGCTCATCGCCTTGACGAGCGGCGGGGACCGGGCCGCCATCTCGGGGCCCAACTTGAACTTGCGAGGTTCACAGCCAATCAAGTTCACTGCCCTGTGACCGGAGGGGGGCCCGATGAGATCGATCTCCGAGCCGCTGTCACAAACTCTCAACTTGTTGGCGGGCATGTCCACCACTGCCTTCACGATCTCTAGACGCTTGGCTGGAAGCATCGGCGGGGTGTGGAAGCCCCAGGAACTCCACGACCCCGAAGCCCCATACTCCGTTGGCCTTGGGAACTGGCCTCGTCGTAATCCACCTGAGTCATGAGTCCGTGCTCCTCGAACGCCTTTTTTCAGAACCTCAAGATCCCCCTTGCCGATCAGCGCCCGTCCCGCCGCCGCGTCGACCAGACCGCAGGGGCCGAGGGGCCTGTTGGAGATCGAGCCGAGCGAGCGTCGAACCTCGGCGAGCGCCATGTCATCCTGACCGAAGAAGGTGACCACGAACTCTGAAACCCAGGAGCCTCTCGCGCCATTTACGTCGCCTACCGAGAAGAAAGAGGAGGTTGGCCCGTCACTATTGCCAGCGGCGCCCTCCGCCTTCAGTCGGTCCGCTCGAGACCTGCAAGGTTTCTCGCACTCGTCTCGCCAGTGACCCTTGTCCCCGTAGTTGGAGCACCGTGACCGGTGCTTGAGATCCCTCTTCGAGACGCGCTTGAAGCCGGGCCGCGGGGGCGGGGGAGCCTGCCCGCGTCGGCGATCGAAGAAGTCGCGACCCACGCGCTTGGCATTCTTCATCTGCTTCGATTCCTGCCGAGATCGTCGTCGTCGTGGCTCGGCAAGTTCTGCAAACACATGATAAGGCTGGTCCTCGAGCCTGGTCCTCATCAAGATCGTGCTCGTCGATGGCCGCTAGCCACGTCACAGTCTCGTCTCCAGGAAACTCCACCTCGAACAGGTCGAGCGACTCCACGGCCTCATGCCCCGTGGGCTGAGGTGTGGCTGCCGGTCTCGACGAGGCTCTTGGAAGGGCCAGGAGCGAGGAGGGTAAGAACAGTCTTCTTCCTGACATCCATAGCCAACAGTGCCTCCCGAACTGCCCTGAGCGAGACGTCGTCGCCCATCAGCATTCTCAGGTTACCTTTCATCTGGCCCTGCAGCATCGCACCCTCCTCGTAGCAGCACGCGAGCAAGTGGTCCGGCAGCGTCAAGCCGAACCTCTCAGCCTCGCTCACCTGGCTGCCCCTTCTGACTACGAACGCTTCTGCGGATCTTGAAATCGAACAGCGCCCTATTATGTGTTTCCCTTTCTTTGTCGCCGGGCTTCTCGCCCGACACCAGCTCTAAGTGTGAGATGAGGGTGTCGAGGCCGTCTTCCTGGTCGAGCTTGTACCTCAGTGTCCGGAACTTCGCCTGCAAATATATCGGAAGAGACTCAAGAACCTTTCTTGCCTGATTCTCGGGCCTATAGCCCGTTCTCAACTTCCACGAACTCAAATTGTCTCGACATAGCTGCAGGTGGTCGAGCCCATAAAACACTGGAGGTGCCGAGCAATCTCTAGATCGCTCGTGCCAGGGAGTGCTCACTTTCTGCCAACTGTCCCAGCTGTCGTCCATGGAGTGAACTTCGTCCGCGTCCTCGTTGGGGTGCCACGTCCAGCGTCCCCCTGCGCCGGAACTGCCCCACGATGCCGTCCATGAGCCCCATGTTCGCCGTCTCCTTTGTTGTCCTTTTTGCCGGTCCCGTCCCTGGCTGAAGACCCGCGAGCACCATGAATCCCCGTAGTGTCCACGTCCCCCTCCTGTTCGCTCGTGACCAAGCTCCGCTACCATTGTCGTCGCTGTCGTCAGACATCGGAATAACGGGATGAGGACGGCACAGTTGTGGAAACCCTCAACATTCCTCGAACCTCCGAGCTCGGAGGTCATAGTGAGACCTAAGCCCAAAGGGCTGCGCACGGATACATAACCTAGGGCGATAATGGGACGTCAGACACAAAGAGGAGAGGGGAAGGATTGGACACAGAAGACAAGGGGAGGAGGAGGAGGAGGAAGAGCAGCAGCAGCAGCAGCAGCAGCAGGTGGGAGGAGAGAGGAGGGAGGAGGGGGGAGGAGGAGGAGGAAGGAGGAGGAGGAGGAGGAGGAGGGAGAGGGAGGGGGAGGGAGAAGGGAGGAGGGAGGTAGAGGGAGGGCGGACGGGAGGAAGAAAGAGGGAGGAGGAAAGACAGAGGAGGGAGGATTGGGAGCATGACGGGAAAGAGGATGAGGGGGCTGAAAACTACGCACTACCCAAGTCAAGTGATGTGTTATGGGCGTCGGGCTTTGAATTTTCTGTTCGGCTGATCGTGCTCCGTCCAACGCTCTGCCGGTGCGAACGATCAACCAAGGCATGCCACACTGGACTTCTGATCCTTCGCAAACCACTCGGTGACTCACCCATCTCCTCCTGCTCCTCCTCCTCCACCTCCTCCGCCTCCTCCCCCTCCTCCGCAATTAATCAATATGAATACAACTCTCCCTCTTCCCCTGATGGCGTGCTGGGAGTGGCCGACCCCCCCCGCGTACTGTTTTTTTACACACAGGATTCCCGGGAGTTGGGTTTTCGCCTGCGTTTTTTTTTTCAAAAATGCTGCTCTCGCTGAAGCGCCGGCCTCATTTCTGCTCCCGAATCCGAATCGTGTTCCCGCTGCAGCGTGGGCCTCATTTTCGGATCGGTGTTTGGCCTCCGTCGTTCAGGATGGCGTTCTCGCCCCAGCGCGGGCCTCTTTCTCGCGCGCCCATCCGCCCGCCACCACCGCGCCGCACCACCACCACCAGCACCACCACCACCACCACCACCCACCACCACCACCACCACAACCACGCACACACGCACGCACGCACGCACGCACGCGCACCACCACCCACTACGCACGCGCGCGCGGAGCCACAGGTCCGCTACGACACGCGTCCGCGGATAGAGAAAATCAGCGCCATGGTAAGGGATGGGAGGGAGGGGTAGGACGTCAGATATGACGCGAGCGCACCTAGCTTGTCCTCCTCCTCCTCCTCCTCCTCCTCCTCCTCCTCCTCCTCCTCCTATTCCTCTTCCTCCTCCTCCTCCTCCTCCTCCTCCTCCTCCTCCTCCTCCCCGTCATCATTGTATTCCTCCTCCTCCTCCTCCTCCTCCTCCCCACCGTCCTACTTACCCCCACACACACCCACCCTCATCCCTCTGAGAGCGCGTCGAGAAAGCAGTACTGGGGACCTGGAGCAAGAGCAGACCGACGAGAAGGAGGACAACATGGAGGACAAGGAGCAAAAGGACAAGGGCGAGGAGAAGGTTGAAAGCGCGAGCGCGGGCGCGGATATCCCAAGAATCAACTGCACGGTGGAGAGACATAGCTGACAACTGTGGGACACGCAGCGGCAAATGCAAGTGTCACGCCGACCTACCCCACTACGGAAACGCTCCATTGGGGTCGATGCCATTCTTCTCGAACCAACCCTCCTTCCCGAGCTCCTTCGCGTACTTGCACGCCATGTCGTAAGGCTCCCCGTAGCAGTCTGACAGCTTCTTCCCGATGTACCACATACAGGACTGGCAATCTTCCCAGCACCAGTGGGCACCGTCCCGCCTATGCGGGCGCCCTTTGCAGAGATTGTAGCATTTAGTCGACATGTTGTGCTTGGCCATCAAGTAGACGCTCCCGATGCAGGTGGCGCACGGCGTGGACACGGGGAAGTACGACTGGTAGCACGGCACAAACCCAGAAGTACCCGTCATGTCCCACGACCCAGAAGCCTCGGCCCCCGTGTAGCAAGACCCTGTCTTGAAATCCCCCGCGCGCATGGCTGGTGGCAACTTCTTCTTCGCCTGCTTCAAGGCCATATCGTTGAGGATCGTCATGTCGGCGCTGGTGCACTGTGCTGTGCTACTAAGCGGCCAAGCAGCCGAGCCACTGTAAGTGTCGCCAGGGCTCAGTGGCGCCTTCCACGGCCCTGCCAGATCCGACGTCTCGGTGATCTTGCGGCCCTCTCCGACGAGCTGCTGCTCCTCCTCCTCCTTCGCCCGTCCAACGAATTCGAAGAAGCCGCCGAAGTCATACACTGCATCATCCTCCTTGCCGTCGGCATCCACGACTGCTCCATCCGAGAGCACACTCAGCTGGGTAGTCACTGGCAGGGAGGCAAGAACGAGTGCCCACCGGGAGCTCATCGCGTGCTGACAAGTTATCGGCGCAGCAGGCCAAATTCAGTAGAGTTATGCGTGCAGTCTGGTTTTCAGGTCTGTCTGAGCCGACGTGGCTACTGAACAGGACAAGGGAATTCCCGCCTGGCATCGGGCACAGCGCTTCCTCAAATTCCAGGCGGCCAGCGTGGGGCTCTGCCATACCCTCCTCCTCCCCCTCCTCCTCCTCCTCCTCCTCCCCCTCCTCCTCCATCCTCCTCCGCATATTGATCATCCCTCCCCTCCTTCTCCTCCGCCTCCTCCTCCCCCCCCTGCCCTTGCTCCCTCGATGCGCAGCAGCGCTTGGGGCCCCCAGCGAAAAGAAAACCTAGATAGACCATGCTTCCGCATCAAGTCTTGGCTCATTGGCCCGGGAGGAAAAGCAGCTCGGCATACCTCACCTCGGACGGCACACCTTCGTGGCCCCTGGGCCTTCGCAGGGCAAACATCACCAGTGGAGGAGCGAGCCGCATTGTTCCAGGCTGGTCCCAGATCGCCGTAAAGCTGCCTCAAAACGGGCCACGACCAGCTCAAGATGGCCTCGTGGACGCCCCAGGACGGCTCAAACTACCTCCACAACACCTGTCAGACTTCCCAAACTGCCTGACAATTCAGAACGGCACCCTCGCTGCCCTCAGGAGCCCTCCGACAGGGCCAAGGGAGCCACAAGACTTCGAAGTATCCCAGCAAAGGACCAAACGATGTGCAGTTATGGGTGCCGTGCTGTGGCTCCATCTTTCGACAGGTTTTCCTATGGGGCCACCAACCCGCGATGTAGTGGACGCTCCGCGGCAGGAAGACTCAACCGAAAGGAGCATAATTACAGAGAGGACAGATAACATTTCCATGCTTCCTCTCCAGCCGCCAGACAAAGAGCCGTTTCAGGGTCTCGTTCCAGCAATGCCAGGGGGGAAAGAAGCCTGTACAGGTTCCCTCTCCCACCCTTCTCCTCCTCCTCCTCCTCCTCCTCCTCCTCCTCCCTCCTCCTCCTCCTCCTCCTCCTCCTCCTCCTCCTCCTCCTCCTCCTCCTCCTCCGCATCCTCCTCCCCATCCGACACGACCCTCGGATGGATGCGGCAGTGCCATGCTGGGCGCTGCCACTGGGGCCTTCGGTGAAGCTCCATATGGGGCCACGATCCTCGTGAGGGGTGTGCCGACATGCAAGGCGGAATCTCATGCGAACCCTGCCGCTGGGGCCACGAGCCTCGTGAGGGCGTCGCCAACATGGGCACGGTCACGCCTGCGAGCCCTGCCACCGGGGCCCCTGGCGGAGCTCCCTCCTCCTCAGGGGTTGACCGACATCGGCGCGGTGCCGCCCTGCGACCCCAGCCGCTGGGGCCCTCCGTGGGAGCTCCCCTATGGGGAAACGACCCTCGTGGGCGGCGTGCCGAAAGGGTCGCGGCGCTGCCATGCGACCCCGGGCACTGGGGCCTTCGGTGGAGCTCCCCTTTTGGGGCCACGGTCCTCCGGAGGGGTGTACCGAAGCTGGCGCGGTGCTGCCAGGCGGCCCCTGCCACCAGAGCCCTCTGTGGAGCTTCCCATGGGGCCACGATGGTTTCGAGGGGCTGTGGCCTATTGATGATGATGATGATGATGATGATGATGATGATGATGATGATGATGATGATGATGATGATGATGATGATGATGATGATGATGATGATGATGATGCTGCTTATGCTTATGTTTATGCTTATGATGATGATGATGATGATGATGATGCTGATGATGATGATGATGATGATGATGATGATGATGATGATGATGATGATGGCCATTGTGATCGTGACGATGGTGATGATGATGATGATATGGTGATGGTGATGGTTATGGTTATGGTGATGGTGATGGTGATGGTGATGGTGATGGTGATGGTGATGGTGATGGTGATGGTGATGGTGATGGTGATGGTGATGGTGATGGTGATGGTGATGGTGATGGTGATGGTGATGGTGATGGTGATGGTGATGGTGATGCTGATGGTGATTGTGATGGTGATGGTGGTGGTGGTGATGGTGATGGTGATGGTGATGAGAATGATGATGATGATGATGATGATGATGATGATGATGATGATGCTGATGGTGATGATGACGATGGTGATGATGATGGTGACGGTAATGATGATGGTAATGACCGTGATAACGATGATGATGGTGATGAAGTCGACGGCGGCGACGACGACGGTGATGATGATGATGGTTATGATGATTATGGTGGTGCTGATGACGATGGTGATGATGATGGTGGTGGTGATGATGCTGATGATGATGATGGTGGTGGTGATGATGGTGATGATGACGGTAGTGATGCGGACGGAAAAGGAGTACGGAGAAAGGAGGCATGGAAGAGACGAGGAGGAAGAGGAGGAAAAGGAGATGAAGGAGGAGAAGGAGAAGGAGAGGGTCCGCGGGCCGCTATCTCTCCAAAACGAGGACCCAACACCACAGAATGGTTGGGAAAAACTCATGACTGTTTACTAGAACCCTGCGTGCGCTTAGGTTCTAGCAGCCCCAACCATTGGGGCCTTCTTGGGGCGTCTTGGAAGCCTCTTGGGCTGCCTCGGCGCATCTTGGGTGTCTCTGAGCGTTTTCGGGCGGCCCCGGACCGAGGGGGCCTCCTGGGGAGCGGCCCGCGGGGGAGAGGGGCACCCACATACGGGGGTCCTGCCCGGAACCCCAGGCCGGGATCTCCACATATGCAGACTCTACACTCCACTCGCCTTGCCATCCTCGTGGCTGTAAAGGTGGCCTCCAGAGGCTTCGACCAGCGCCACGTGACGCCCCAGCGGCGCAGACCGCCCCGGTGATCCCAAGACGCCAAGACGGTTCAACACTCCCCCCAAGGCAGCCCCAAAACCACCGCATGATGGACACGAGACGGCCGAAGACCAGCCAGGACTTCAAGACGTCCCTAGACCCGAGACTGCCTCACGGCCAGCCTCATAGCCCCAAGACTCCCCCATACTGTCCCGGAAGCTCCAACGAGCGCTCCAAAGACCCTCAAGTGGCTCCGTGAGGCGTCGGACACGTGGGTCGACGAAAAGCAGAGGGCAAAAGCCGGTCCTGACTGCCAGTGGGGGAATGATTCAAACTGACGGGTCGGGGATACCCAAACGGCATGACAGAAGACGGTCTGCTTCGTTGTAGTGGCGGGTCTGGGCAAGGCGCGCTGGTGTCGGGCAGGTCGCGTCTGCAATATTGCGCCTGCGAATAAAGCACTCGTTTAGTACCCGTCCCCGTTGCAAATAGAAACGCATACGCATACGCCAATACACATACACACCCATCCCGAAGGGTGGCGGATACCTAAGGCAACGCAACAAGAAGCACGCTCATTCAAAACCTTGATAAGGACGCTCAGAGGGCGCGCTGGGCGTCAAAGCTCAACGACTTCAAGATGGCCTCATGCATGCATCCAAAAGGCTCCAGGACTTCCTGAAAGCGGCTCCAAGTGCACGGGGCCTACCAAAGATGCTCCCGAGAGGACAAGTCTTCAGACAGCTTCTGCCGTTCTGCCATGGCTCGCACCTTCTCGCCTTCTCGCTTCCAGTGAACCCCTGGTAGCCTCATGATGGCCCCGAGAAAGTCCAGGGAGAGCTCCGCAGGGGGCCCGCAGAGGAGCGCCCGAGAGCGCCCCAGGAGCGTCCCCGGAGGGCAAAGAGGCGACGTGTCGGGCTCCGACGGGGCGAGGCCAATCTGGCGCCTTCCCTCTGCAAGTAAGAAGACGTGCCACAGTGGAGATGGATTCGACTGACCTGGGCCTCTCGTGGGCCTCCTCAGGGGACTTTTGGGTCAAGGCGGCTCTAAGATGGCCCCAGGTAGGATAACCTCCAGCGAATATGGCGCGATATTGCACAGCATTGCTCGGGAAGCCCCCACGACACGCCGAAAGGGCCCCAAGATGGCACCGTGGCCCTGGGGCCTCCCGAGGACGACCCCGAGAAGCTTGGGCCTTTCACAAACCTGAGGATATCACTGAACTTGAAAGTTTCGCCTGCAGCAGGGTTTTGAGAGCTCCCAGATCACCCAAGAGAGTTCCCAAAGGGGTCAGGTTAATAAGGTCTCCAAGACAGCCCCAAAAGGCGCCCGAGAACAAGAGACGACAGGTCGGACTCCGACGGGGCGGCCACATGACTGAATTGTATTCTCTGGTTCGTTGCCCTTTACCACAATTAATTGTTGGGTTATTCGACAGTCGAATTCTGGCCCGTTGGTCTTTACCTTGGTTAGTTGGAGCATTCCCCTGCTGAGTTGGGCTGATCTTAGGGTCCACTTTTGGGAATGTGAGAAAAAAGTGTGAGGAAGTGTGAATGTGAGGGGCCAAGCGTACGAGGGGCTTCTGAGAGGCTTCTGAAAGCCTTCCGAAAAAGCTCCTGGAAGACTTCTAAAAGGTTTCTAGTGAGCTTTTGAAAGGCTTCTGAGAAGCTTCTGAGAGGCTTACGAAAGTCTTCTGAAGCTACTGAGAGGCCTATGAAATGCTTATGAAAGGCTTCTGCAAGGCGCGCCTGATGAGTTCTTGTTGGGATTGCGAAGATCCCCATAGTGATTCCCCTGTCGTGGAGATTCCCTAGAAAGCGTCGCAGAGATTCCCGAAGGATTCGTGGTGAGCCCCTAGGGATTCGTGAGGATCCCCAAGGGATGCGGACAACTCCGCAAGGACGCGCGAGCTCCCCCGAGGGATCCGTGAGGATCTCCGGAGGGTGCGTGGGGATTCGTCAGGGGCCTGGCACACATCCACTCGGCGACGCGCACATTGCTTCTCAGAGTGGCGCTTCCCGCCGAGCCGCAGAGCCGCGCGCGAGCGGGAGGAATGTCACTCTCGCCCAGGCGCCGCGCAGGTGCCCCTGAAAGCGGCGTTCGGGCCCCGGGGCGCGGTGCGGCTCCGGCTCACACAAAACTCCTCCATGCTGTCGGAAACCTCCTCCTCCTCCTCCTCTCCTCCTCCTCCCCCCTCCTCCTCCTTCCTCCTCCTTCTCCCCCCTCCTCCTCCTCCTCTCCTCATCCTCCTCCTCCTCCTCTCCTCCTCCTCTCCTCCCTCCTCCTCCTCCCTCCTCCTCCTGCTCCTCCTCCTCCTCCTCCT